ATAGTCTCAAAGGGGTGTTAATTTACTAAAAGAAAATTCTAACTTTTTTATTTTTTATTTAATTGATAGAAAACTCTCTAGTAAGCTAATGCTTTGCATTTGCCACACTTGGTCTCAAAGAAATGTCTCTTTCCAAGTAATATATAAATCTCAAAGGGGTGTAAATTTTTTTCTTTTTTTCTCTTTTATTGCAATTGACAAACAATTCTCCAGTAACAATTTGCAGTGAGTGTCACCATAGAAACATAACAGAAAATATTCCATGTTTTTTTTTTCATTTTTTTTTTTGTGTATCACATATTTAGGAGGCGCTAAACCCACACTTATAATAAAACCTCTTCCCAAAATGGTTCCAAAGCTCCTTTAATCTTTATGGTTAGGGTATATCATGGTTTTCTGGTTAAAGGCTTGTAATGAGTTATATAATCAAAGAAAATGATCAAATAGGCTCAAAGGGGTATCAAAGGGATATATTTAGCATGGGCCAATTTGGCCAGAAGCTTAAAGAAAGAAGGCCTGAGTCATTTCAATATTGCATGGGAGACAAAAGGCATAAAAAAGAGTCAAAGCAAAACCTAGAGTAACCACCATGATAAGTGTAATCACACAAGAAAGAAATCACATGGAGAAAATGGTTCATGCACGAAATAAGGCGCCTCAAAACTTACACGGTTAGATGTTCTATAAAAAATGTTTCAAAACTTTAATTTTTCAAAAGTCATCTCACCGAACAAAAAATGCACAAACAAGTCATATAGGTTTATAAAACCAACCCACCAAAAGTAATGTAACTTTCAAAATTCATACACATACAATCAAAGAAAACAGTCAAACTTTTCTGTTAAGAATCATTAGGATTCCCTAAAAAGAAAAACAACAAAAACAGAGTTAAAGAAATACAAAATCTAGAAATCTTATTATTAAGCTCTTAAAACAGATTTAAAAATTTTATTAAGCATGATGGACAAGCTACAAAAAAAGGAAATGCTTGAATTGCATGAAAACATAAAACTAAGCATGACAACAAGGAAATTAATACCAAATAGTCGTGCAAATATCAGTTATAATATTGATTCAGTTGGTTGGATACTTGAAGAAGTTTAAATTCCCATATCAATCTCTATTACAATGGTATAAAATGCAACTTTTAAAAGCAACCTACATTCAACCATTGAAAAAAAAATGAGATTTTGCACCTAGTTTTTAAAAATGATATATGCAGCGTAATTACAGATAATCCTAAAATGGAAAGCTTTCAGTTATCTATGCAGCATAGGTTTGAAATTTCAAAATACGTTTGGAAACAAGTATGTACATGCAAGGGAGTTTCTAGATATAAAACTTCCTTGAGCTCTTAGAAAATGGAATTTGGGATTTATGGATTCTAAACGTAACTAAAGCAAGATTAGAAGAATGAATAAACAACTAACTATTGTTTGAATGAATTTCTAAGGTTATGTTCCATCAACAATACAACTAAAAATGTCAAAAAATGATGGGAAAAAAGAGAAAATGTCAAGATGATTCATTGAAGTTCTACTTTAGTGTTCTCTAGCATCACATGTTAGGGAAGCTATAGTTTTGTATTACCTTGTTTTCCTATAGATTCAATGAAAGACAATTTCATCATTTCCATTAATGTTAGGGTTAGGTTGTAAGCGTTAGGGTTAGGTTGTAGGGTTTGTGGTTTAAGGTTAGGGTTATGGTTATGATGTATAGTTAAGGTTTAGGGTTAGGATTAGAGTTTAGGGTTTAACGTTATGGTTAGGGTTTAGGGGTTATGGGTTATGGGTTAGGGTTTGGGTTTGGGTTTCGAGTTAGTGTTTAGGGTCTGGGTTTTAGAGTTTAATGTTACGATTAGGGTTTATGGTTAGGGTTAGTGTTAATTATAATGTTAGGGATATGGTTTAAGGTTGAAGTTAGGGTTAAGGTTATGGTTTGAGTTTAGGGTTAAGGTTTAGAGGTTAAGGTTTAGGGTTTCTGGTTAAGAGTTAGTATTAGGTTTAGGGTTAGGGGTTATGGTTAGGGTTTATGGGTTATGGTTAAGGGTCAGTGTTATGGTTTAGGGTTTATGATTTATGGTTATGGTCAGGATTTAGGGTTATGGGTTGTGGTTAGGGTTTATGAGGTAGAGTTTATGAGTTAGGGTTAGGGTTATGGGTTATGGTTTATGGTTCATGTTTTAGGATTTATAATTAGGGTTAGTTAATTATGGTTTAGAATTTAGAATTTAGGGTTATGATTAGGGTGTAGGGTATAGGGTTAGTGTTTAAGGGTTAAGGGCTAGGCTTAGGGTCATGGGTTAGGGTTTATGGTTTAGGGTTATCATTATGGTTTATTGCTAGGGTTAGTTAACTAAGGCTTAGGATTTAGGGTTAGGTTATGGGTTATGGGTTATGGGTTATGGGTTAGGGGTTAGGATTTATGGTTTAGGGGTTAGGGTTAGGGTTAGAGTTATGGTTTAGTGTTTAGGGTTAGAGTTACAATTAGGGTTTAAGGTTATTGTTAGGATTTAACATTTAGGTTTTTAGATTAGAGTTTAGGGTTACGATTAGGATTTAGGGTTTTGGGTGAGGGTTTAGGGCTCCTGGTTAGGGCTAGTGTTTAGGGTAAGTGTTAGGGTTTATAGTTTAGGGTTTAGAGAAAGGTGAGTATTTATGGTTATGGTTTAGGGTTAGTTAACTACAGTTCGTTAACTAGGGTTATTTAACTAGGGTTTGTTAACTAGGTTAGTTAACTATGGTAACTAGAGTTAGTTAACTAGAGTTAGTTAAATGAGATTAGTTAACTAGGGTTAGTTAACTAGGGTTAGTTAACTAGGGTTAGTTAACTAGGGTTAGTTAACTAGGGTTAATTAACTAGGGTTAGTTAATTAGGGTTAGTTAACTAGGGTTAGTTGATGGAACGTCTCTTAAACGTTCATGGTTAGTAGAAGTTGACAGTTCTTTAATAGGGGTGAGACATAAAGCGATATTTGGGTCATGGTTTGCTCTCCTAGAAAATTCCATCTACATCAACTCATATTATAGTTAATATAAAATCATATTACAAACTCTTAGTATCAATAATATAAGTGTACAACAATTAAAATATATTTACTAACAAACTATTAGGATCATGCAGTATTACAACTACATTCTGCAAGATCCATTGTCTGCCAACATTTACATACAAAACTCAATACATAATATACTTACTAAGGAACTCCCACTGGTTCTAAATCAAATGCATAATTACTGATACATTTTGTAATAACCATGGCTTGCAACAAGTAGATACAAAAATCAATACATAATATACTTGTTACAAACATTTGACCTTGTCAATAAACACTTATTACAATTAATACCTCCTTTTGTGCAAGTAGACTTTTTAATGTGATCAATAATTTCAATATCAGTTGAAACTCTCATTACTAAAGCATGTTGGTTCTTTCCTTAGAGCCTAATCTTAAAGGCTCAAGTACATCCTAAGATAACATTTAGATCCTTTGGAAAACACTTGGGATCATCCTCACCATCGTAATACACAAAATAAAAGGCCAAATTACTATGTTATAATGTTTGAGTATAACATTAATGAAGTGCTACTACCTTAATAATTTTTGTTCTTAAATCATCAACAATATACCAATCAAATTGATGAGGTCTTGGTCCAATAGAAGAAAGTTGGCAACATTTTTGGGATCAAAAACTTAAATTCAAGCTTGTATCTACATCAATGAATGGAATTTTGATATTAACATTGTAATGTAGTGTAAAATATATAAACAACACATATTTAACCTAATTCTTGGTTTATCAGTATAGGCCTCACAATTGATACATTTAAAAGAACCAACTTCATGAGTTCTTTTTATGCAATAGTTCTTTTCGAGCCATCATTCCCTAAATTAAATTTAATTGTACTCTTAACAGTTACACAAAAAATTTCGTACCTCCATAACACATATGTCAATATTAACATCAAGTCCAAAATTTGAATCCACTGTAAAAAAAAATATTTGGAAGTTCAGTAGTACCTTATCTTGATAATCTCAGATGCTTTTAGCAACAATTTTATAAATAAACCTATCAACATGACTGATTTGGAGGAGTCATTGTACTGGCTTCCCTCCTCATGATATTCAGTTCTGCAAGTTCTGCAAATTACATGTTAATAATGATATCATAGAGATATATACGGAGGAAAAAGTAGTGTCCTATGCAACTAAAAATTCTTGTATGAATATCTACTTATCATAATCAATACATTAGAATGGATGCTTCATACAATGTATGAATTTAGTAAGGGAAAATAATCAAGGCACCAAAACAATCAAAGGAATATTGTATAAATAAATTGATGGTAAAAAGTTAAATTAAAAGGTTCACTCACTAAGTTACCCCTTTAATCACTATGGATACTTAATTGGGACTAAAATCTTATCGAATTTGTATGTTAGTGGATCATACGGGTGAAAAAATGTTGAACAATTGCCAATAAGCTAATATCTCTTCTCTTATATTTTCCTGCTCCCTATATTTCTATTTTTTACCTGAAAGGAACAAGAAAGAATATATAGTTACCAATCTAGATGCATATGATTAAAAACAGGATGTTATTATTGTAATCATAACTTTTTCTTTATGAGAAAAGCACATAAAATTTTAACATCAATCTAATAAAACCAAACAAAATTGAATGGAGATTGTTAGTACAAAAGAACACACAAAGAAAGCTTATCAGTGTTAGAATACATGACAAAAATTCAATAGTTGTTCCTATTTTGAAATCTTGTTCTATTTTGAAAATTTCAAAAAGCTTGTTTACAAAACAAATCATCTAGAAATTATTTTTATAAAAGACAAAATAATCATTTTGAAAATTATGGGGGTGCAGTTAGAAATTATTGAGATGCTGAAAAAAATAGAGGCATGAAAGTATATTAATTTGAGGCCCAAGCCCAAGAGAGAAGGATAGAGAATGCTTTGAGTGTCTTTGAATCGTACTGCATTTGCATTTGCATTTGCATTGCAGCATAAACCCCTGAAACAGACATTGAGCAAAAGAAAGGAAGAGAAGAAGAAGATTAACAGAAGAACAGGGAAAGAGAGATGAGCGACGGAGGAAAACGACAAGGTGGAAGAGCGTTGCCTCCGCCACCACGCGGCCCGCCGCCTCCTCCTCCCTCTCGCCCTCGCCTCGAACCTGTCGATCGCGAAAAGGTACTCTTCCTTCATCCTTTCCTTTTCTTCTTCTTCTTCTCCTTCTTCTTCTTCTTCTTCTTCTTCTTCTTCTTCTTCTTCTCTCTCTCACTCACCATCTTTCGTTAATTCAACCTTCAGACATGTCCGTTGCTGCTGCGAGTGTTCACCAAGACCGGAGGTCACCACTCGATGGAAGACTTCGCCGTCAGAGGAAAAGAGCCAAAGGACGAAGTCCAGATTTACACCTGGAAGGACGCTACTCTCCGAGAACTCACCGATCTTGTAATTGCAATTTCCATTCTCATTCAAGCCCTTTCTCTGTTCTCTCTCCAATTTTTTCCCCTTTCTGCTTCACTCACTCTCTGTTTTCCGCAGGTTAAAGAAGTTGCCCCCGCTGCGAGAAGAAGAAACGCCAAGCTTTCATTCGCCTTCGTGTTTCCTGATAAAAACGGCCGGTTCAAAGTTCAAGAGGTAATTCAGTCTTCTCTATCTGCTTAGGGTTTATTGGTATTGTTTTTTTTCTTTCTATTTTTTGCCCATGCATATACTATTTTTCTGCGCCTAAGTTTGAGGATAATGTGTGTGGTTTTGATTGTGAAGTAACTACATAATGCACAACTGAGCGTTTGTTGATGAGTTTGGACAGTTTAGGCATAAAACCTTCTTCTCAGGTTTATATTATGGAAAATTGCTAGCAAATGCTGTCACAATTGTGACGCCCCAGAGAACCGCATATTGTGGTTGTAGAGTGAAGACTTTTCTTAAAATAAATCGTAAAACTTGAATTACTGATGCGTGGTATTGCAGTTCCAAATGTCATAAAGTTGGGTTCTGAGCTTTACAAGTCTTCCAGTGGAATAGAATATAGATCAAATGTGTAGTCTATGCTTAATTTATCATCTAAACACAAGCAAGCTGTAATATATGTGGTCATCAATTGTCTTAGGGCTGTTTTAAGATTAGTGAAAATGAACAAAAACCCTTGTCAAATGATTGAGTTTGGGAACTTGATTATTGCTTGTTTGTGTGTTTTCATAGGCACTGTAGGGATCCCATTGTGGTTCAGTTCAGGCAACCCATGCATGCCTTTTGCACATGTGAAAAATAATCTTTGAAAGACCAGTCATCCAACTTGAAAACTATGAATGCTAAAGGGATGAAATAAAATAGAGATCCCATTGTGGTTCAGTTCAGGCAACCCATACATTCTTTTTGCACATGTGAAAAAAAAATCTTTGAAAGTTTTGTCATCCAACTTGATAACCATGAATGCTAAAGGGATGGAATAAAATAGTTAGAATTATAATGTTTAAGGAATGATTATAGAATTATTATATAAAATAGAAAATATTTCTGTTTTTACTGTATTTTTTAGCCGTTATTTTGTTATTCATTCTCTTTTGGATACCTCTCACCTCAAAGCTTGAACCCCCTTAATGGTGCATTTAGTGTTTTGCCTTTGGTCAGTACACTCTTAACAACTGTTATGAGTGTTTAATGCAAAAAGGTTGTCATATTTTCTTGTAGCCAGTTTAGTTCTTCCCTTCTCATAGGTTATGTTCCGACAATGCAATTGTAGTTATGTGGGGTTGGCCTGGTTTTTGGAAAAAGTGATCCCAATCGATAAATGGGATTGTGATTTACCTATTGGGAAACCCATGCCAAAAGCTAGCTTTTAAGGGGGATAACGAAACACTTATATGCTCCACCGAACATCTCTTTGATGTAGGGACTTAGGCTCAATACCAGATGTTAAACAAGCACGTATAGTTTAAAATGAATGTCGTTATTCCTATTACTCTTTTTACAACCATACTATGGGTACAGATTAATGACTTAAACAATAACTAATACTGTTGAGGACATCGAGCGTACATAATGTGGGTATTTCACTTTGGACACGAGATAAAGGTCCCCATCAATATTATTGTTACTTTCGGTAATGCTTACTCAGTACCAATGTCATGGTCACCAAAAAAAATGTTGATTGTTGTTATTATGAGTTGGAGCTTTAATGTTGAATCATTCTCATATTTTGTATTCTCTGATTGCGCTTCATGAAGGTGGGTAAGACATTATCTTATGGAAATGGAAGATTGGATGATGGCAAGGCTTTAGCTGAACTTGGTTTTGAGGTAAAAATAAATAAATTCTTCTCATGTTTATGCTTGATCATGACAAACTATATTGCTAACTTAGTTCGTGAATGTGCAGATTGGTGATTACTTGGATGTGGCTATTCTGTAGTTTATTGTGGATACTGAATAGCATCTCGCAATTGTTACGCGTTTTGGGCTGCTCATTAGATTTATTTTAGAGTTAAAAAGACTGTACCATGGAAATATTTAACTGTTAAGTGTTATATGAAACTCATACAAGTCCAGCTTATTTGGTTGCAAAAAATGATAGATTGACTATTTCTAATCCCTATTATTGCAGGCCTTTCTCTCCCCAATCTTTTGTCACCCAAGATAAAAAGGAATGGATAGTTTTAGATAGATAGAATACCAAATTAATGAGTAAGAATGGTTGGATTTCGTGATTTAATGGCTCAAATCTAAAGATACAGTTGCGGTGACTGTGAGAAGGTCTTTTAAAAACGAATGATTTGATTACACAAGGAAAATGGGGAACATGCATTGACTTAATGAAAATAGAGTTTGGCAAATAGACAGGGTCCTTTTAGGATGGAGCTATGGATTAGCCATTGTAAAGAATTTAGGTAGTATTGGATAACAAAGTGAGAGTCCTATTAGACAAACCATTTCCTTAATGGAAAATATACTTATGAGTGTCAAATTTCATTAATATACTTATTTGTGTAATAGATATTAATAATCAAACATGAACTACAGCAATCCATGTGAGTCATGAACTAGAAACTAAGAAAAATTGTCGGTGGTGATAGCAACCCACTCTTTGAATATTCTTTCATCAATTAACAAAGAGTAGAATTTACAGAGTTTTGCATTTTCCCATAAATTTGTGAATTTCACTTACATGGTGGCACCACAAAAAGGCCAATAGAGATAGAGATTGAGTGCTCAATGCTTGTTCTCACTTAAGTAGTTGAATATGACAATTTAGCATTACATGGGAGTTGTTTTCATCCAGCTGACTCTTTGATTTATTCTTTTTGTTTGATTGAAGAAGGTTCTTTTGGGCTTTGTCTTGTCACTTCTTCCAAAATTTTGTTGAGCAAACAAACCCCCACAACAAAAAATGACCAAATGATTCACATAAATTTTTCAGCCGAGATAATCAGTAGCATAATACAGGTAAGAGAAATGATAAAAAGACATACTAAACTATTCATAATAATTAGTAATATATATATGGTTTCATACAGTCACCATTTCATAGTTGTTATCCCAAGATACTACCATGCACAAGCATCCCTTTAACCTTAAGAAACCACCACCACAAATGCAACCTAATAAGTTGGTTCAATGAATATTGAAGAAAAAGGGAGATATTAATTAATATTAGAAGAAATTTATGGGTGCCATCATACAATTTTGGTGTTACTGTTAGCAAGCACTATTGCAATTTATTGTCGAACTACAACACGTGTGCCACTTGTTGAGTTGGGCAAAAGAACTAGCTGCGTATACGCCAATTCTTCCTCCATGATTAAGTTAAAGACATCAAGAAACTTGTTGTGAAATATTGGTGGAAGAAAATCGAGGAATCATTGCTATAAGTGTGCGTTCAAACGACGTGCTAATTCGTAGTGCCTAAGAAAGTTATATGTCATTTTTCAGTAAATGTTATTAATGTTCATTTTCTAATTAGGTGCTTTTTTGCCGACTCTCATTCTTTTATCAGATTTCTTAACTCTCAATTTTTTTTTTCTTCATTAGGTTCGTATGGATTTTACGAAGGTCTTGTTTGGTTCAATTCTTTTATTAAAAAAAACTGATAATTTATTCTTTGTCCCACATATTAGTTTTGGGATGAAAGAGGAAGAAAGTAAATTGGTTTCTTTTTAAAAGTTATTCCGGTTAACTTTTTTTCCCCTTCTTAGAAGTGCTTCTCCTCTTTTTTTTCTTTATGAAAATTGGCATTGTAATTTTTAGAAAAATTCTTAAACATGAATGACCTCATTCCCAAGCAAAATATGTATTAAGATAGGCAGTCAAACCAATTTAAAAAGTAGAATCACTTAAAGTGTGTCGCAATTGGTTAAATGCATATTTATAACTAATTTGTCTCATAAATAAATGCTAACCAGAAAAATAACATTATTATTATGGAGAAACTCAAAATCTCTAAACATTGAAAGCAATAATATGTTTGAGATAAAGTTCGTGATTTTGAATTAGAAAGAATATTTTGGGATTAAATGATTGAAATTAAGATTGTGAAAAATGAAAGAAAAGAAAAGAACTAGAGTGAAAAGTAAAAATGTCCGCATGAAATGAAAATAAGTAGAAAAGAGAGTAGTAATGAGTGAAGATTTTGTAAGTGTATATGACTCATTTGTTAGAAGTAAAAGTAATAGGTAGATGTTTTTTGCTAGCAACATCCAATTTGTGTAACTTCAATACTTTTGATCAATTTTAAGAATGATGAAAAAAAAGGAATTACATTAATTTTGTGGGAAAAAAAAGAGCAAGGTATATATTAGTTGTATTTGCTAGTTGTCTTTCCATTGCTTCCTCAAAAAAGTAGTGATCCATTAAAATTATCCTCTCATTTCTCACCAAATATATAAAAACAAGTAACTCCAAACTAACTATAACTTATGTCTTTCCTACTGTGTAGTTATCTATAAACTAATATAAAATTGTATTTTTTTTCACTCAATTCTTCAAAGTACTTTTTGTTGTCCTTACACTGTTATTACTATTTTAAGCTTTGATGAAAAAAAGTTACTTCCAAATGTTGTGAGAATTAGTATAGGATTTTATTGACGTGACAAATTAAAAAAATTTACTTCCAAATGCACTCTCATTTACTTCTAAATTGACTCAAATAAACGACAAAAAAATTTATCTTCAAATCTTCTCAAATCCCCTTAAATTCACTCCCTCAAATCCACCCAAGAGAACAAGGCATAAGTGTTTGTAGGGTTACTTGAGTTAACATGTCATGTTTCACATGATTTAATAGAATAAGGTTTAATGTCTCAATAGGTCCCTATTTTTGTTCAGAATTTGAAATAGGTCCCTTTATTTTTTGGTTTCTCAATTGGGTCCTTATTTTTGTTAATTTGATGCAAATAAATTCTTTCCGTCAATTTCATCAAACGGCGTTAATAAATGTGTGACGTGGCCTTACACGTGTCAATACTGTCCTCAGGTCACGTCACACATTCATTAACGTCGTTTGATGAAATTGACGGAAAGGATTTATTTGCATCAAATTAACAAAAATAAGGACCCAATTGAGACGCCAAAAAATAAAGGGACCTATTTCAAATTCTGAACAAAAATAGGGACCTATTGAGACATTAAACCATAGAATAAAGTTTTATTTGCATCTTGTTTAAAGCTTTCTAAACTTTGTTGTATGTGCTTCTAAAGACCATTGTCTAAGAGTTAAAAAAAACACGAGTTTCTTATAAAAAAGTATTGTAGTTTCATTTAATGAGCATACTTAATAGATACATTGATTCACCAAAAGTACACATTATTTGTTATTATAGAAATTATGATTGTTTAGATTGTTATTATTTTTTAATATAAATTGCAAAAGATTTTTTCCAAAAGTTGATGATGAATTCTCGAGCTTGGACCGCAAGCTTAAGGCACGCTGCCAACGTTTATAATTTAGATTTAATGTTCCTTTATTTTATTAAAAATTATTTTTAATAGAAGATATTTTGGATGTTTTGAATCATGGTGGGTCTGGTTGTCCAACTCTATAAATAAAGACTTCATTCACTCCAAAACACATCATCAGAAAATCACTCTTCTCTCATTCTCTATTTTTTTTAGTTTCATTCTTACTCTTTTATTCTTTTCCTAAAAATATTCTGAGTTTATTTTATTCTCTTTTTAGAGATCCTAACTAGTTTTGGGATCTTCAGAAATTTCTGAAAAGTTCCTGTTGTATCCTAGGGCTTGTGCAATACATCGCAGCTAAGTCCTGAAGGACAGTGATCTACACACCTTAGGAAATCTTTTGTTCGTGATCTTTATTCATTTATTGTCAGCTTCTACAACAATCTTAAAGACTTAATCGTAGCATATAGACACAAGCGACTGAAATCTTAGTCCTTTGGTTTTCAATTTTTGTCAAAAGTAAAAAAGGTATGGGAAGCTAACTTTTAATTGTGGTTTTGGTTTGCATGTGGTGAATGATGTTATGCGTTGGGAATGGTTTGCTCATTTTTCTGTTTTTGTTCATGTCGGATGGGTATAAATTGTTATAGCTGCTGAGATAATTTAGATTCAGTAAATATCTATCTTTGGAAAACCAATTAATTAGACTTTTCAGTCACTTCTATGTTTCTACACGTGATTATTACATCAATTGTGTGATGGAGAGTTATGGAAATTTTGGTTAATAAGAAATTGTTGTTTGAATGGTTGTTTTGGTTAAGTTAAAGTTTCTGATGATTGTGGTTTCGGGTTGTGAAAGTGAATCCCCTTTGGGTTTTTAAATGTTGAAATTCTAGGCTAATCAGTTCATATGAGGTATATGTTTTGGTGTAGTTATAATAGTGTAGTTATAATAGCATTATAGTGTTTAAACTCTGGAAACTTCCTGATTAGGAAACGTTTTAACTACGTGTGGTACTAAAATTTAGATGCATATTGGAAGATGTCTATATTGGGTCTGTATGTTATTTTTAATGGAACAGTTCGGTAATATAGTATTGGTTATTGATGGAGATTAAGTTGTTGTGTTACTATGGGATTATTTTCGATCAAACGGTAAAGGGACAGGAGAGCTTCTACGTCACTTTGGGCTCATATACTACCGATCGGTTAGGACAACGTACTGACCCTAAGGAACCGAACGGTCACGTGCTAGGAAAGAGCCTCTTAGTTGTTCCGTCCTCGACAACCGTTGAGTAGAGTTAATGAACAAATAAATGTGGTAACGGCTACCGTTAAACAGTTAAGGTTTGCATTAATGACCATAAGAGGTAAATTAATTGGTCAGATTGCCTTTAAACTCTATAATAAGGGTTTAGGTTCGAGTAAAAGGATGTTTTTTACTCACTACTAAATTAATAAAAGACTTACAGAGAAATAATTATGACTGGAGCGTCAGAGTGTCTTTTGTAGGTCGTCCCCTATTCGATGTTCGATTGGCTGGAGATAGGAGAAGTAGGACGCTCGACAGCGACAGAGAACGCTCGGCAGCGACAGGAGGATGTTTGGCATTATCTTCGTCTCATTTCAGCATAAACATGCTGGAATTTATAACAACTGTTTTCTTTGGATTATCGGATTGGAAAACTACTTCATGTGT